AATTCAAACAAAATTGAAGATACTAGAGAGCTGAGGTCCCACCAGGTGAATGCTTTGCTCAGCCCTCCTAAAATACCAGAATAAGCTCTGACCCCAGCCCAGAATTCCTGCTCTGGGAGATGAACTGCAGGGCTCACTGAGCCTTGCCCCAGGCAGCCACTCCTCTGGCCATTTCTCCTTCCAGTTTTACTTCATTTCGGAGAAAAGGACTTGGTTTGAACTCACAGTTCATCTCACACCTCCTCCCGAGTGTCAGATGTCAACTAGGCTCCTGGGGAGAGAACTCACAGGAGGGTTCAGGCCATGCTGCTGGGCTACCTGTTGGGTAAGCAGCTGCAGGCCCCACGGACTAACTCCAAGTGCCATTTCTTTCCTCACAGGGTCATCGGTCAGCCCGTGCTGCGGGTTAGTGCAGTTGGCGATGTCCACCCTGCTGTTCCTCAGGGGTCAGACATGTGGCGGGCCTCCCTCTCCTCAGAGCCTCCCTCCTCACCTTCCTGAGGGTCTGTCCAGATCTACCTACCTTCCTGACCGCAGTGAGCTGGGCTGACCAGAGCGCAAGCCCCTTTTGTCCTCCGTCCGCACTCAGCTCTCCCTCTGCGTTCTCCCTGACCCCTGTGGTCACAAGGCCTGCAGTCCCATCCCTCCAGGCCACACTGCTCCAAAAGGAAAGGAGAAAAACAGCAGAAGCCCTTATCCTCCTTAGGGACACTCTCTGGGGCCTCGCAAAGGGGGACTCATCAGGCCACTGGGTCCCTGCTGTCCCCAAGGGGCATGCCTCTCTCTGCAGGCCTCTCTTGGGACATTGAGGAGCCTGCCTGACTGAGAAGTGCCCTAGGGTATTGCCCTCCCCTCCTCCATAACCCCCCGCCCCTCCCCATAGGCACAGTCAACTTCAAAGGATTTGGAAATTTAAAAACTAAGATCATGATTACATTACATATTTAAAAATTATGCATATTCTGATTTCAGGACAACTCACTTACAATCCAATCTGACTATGGAGCTGTGACAGTGGCTTAGTGCAGAGGTCCCACTGAGAGGCCAAGCCAGACAGGAAGAGGGGCCTTTGTATTTACCCCAGACATTGGTTGGAGGTACCAGGCCCGTGCTGTCGATGTGTCCTCTGAGTGCCTCTATAGAACTGGCGAGAGCACTTAAGCAGAAAATGTGGGTTAACATCATGGTGGGACCAGAGACAGAAGCCAAGGGCGGCTCTCAGAGAGCGAGGCTTTGGACCCCTGGCATCAGCCAGGGCCCGAGGACCAGACTGTGATGTGACTGGCCCTGTGAAGGTGCCAAATGTTGAGAGGTTGTAACCCTTAAACTGTAGGACTGTTGGATGTGAACCATTTCTCAATAACTCCACAGGCAAAGGATGCTGGCTCTGGGGTTGCTTGTGAGAAAGACTTCCCCAGCCGAGTGGAAAGTCATGGACCCTACTCTCCTGAGCTAGTCCTGTGAGTGGATGGAGATGGGGACGTATATCACTCATTACATTAGTGAACTTGTCGATGGAACCGCTTTTTTAAAAATAAGCTCTGTGTTTATTGTTGACATTAATGTAATCGGAGGGAAGAACACAAATGGCTACTTTTTCAAACGATGACAATATATTGTCTCCTTGTAAAAGGATTATTTGTGAGGAAGTCCATTGGGACAGTGTTTTTAACAACCCACCCCTTTTCAGGAATGTAACTGTCGAGTATGGCTATAAACTCAGAGTCTTAGCTGGTGCCAGGTACTTGATGAATGCCGGTGGAAGGTCTGAGTGAACCCCTTTACTCCTGGTGTTGGGGGAAAGCATGCCCTGAAGGAACTTCACACAGGTTTTGTGGACTCCACCCCACTCCACACCAAAGCCATCGAAAAATAGGAAAACTACAAATCCCATCACCACCCAAGGGAGGATTATGGGACGTGAGGGTGGAGTTAGGCAGCCATGTTTGGTATAAAACCAGACAAGTGGGCCTTGGGGTGCTCCTGGCTTTGGGTTCTCTCTGGCTCTTGGCCTCCTGGTTTTTGGCTGAACTCGGCTTTTCATCAGCTTTCAGCAGGCATTGGGATTCCAGGTCAGCAGAACTGGTAGGATGCATTTACCAATTTACCTCCCTCTCTTTCTCCCTGAAATATTCATTTCTTCATTTCCCCTTCTTTTGTAAATAAACCCATTGTTAACCTTTTTGTATGTGTCTGCCATTGAGTATTCTTTTTTTTTTTTTAAAGATTTATTTATTTACACTTACATAACTTGGGTACAGGCCAGAGGTATGGTGGGTGAGAGGATTCACCAGAGACAGAGTGGGGAGCAGAACAGGCAGATGTACTAAAATACACTGCTGAGGGGAGCAGTGGGTGGGTCAGCAGAGGTCTGCCACGCCATGTGGGTCAGCTCCCTGGCTGGGGATTGAACTTGTGCTGCCAGTGCCTTTGGAAAGCTTCATAATACAGTGCTTTAACCCATTGAGCCACCAGGGAGAGCCTGCCATTGAATATTCTTATAAGTCACTTTAAGCACAAGGGTGAGGACCCACATTCAGGCACCCCATTTCATAGTGGGGTTGCCCTGTCACCCTGGCACTACACTGCCCATCCTGACCAGACCCTAATGTGCCCAGGGAAATGGAAAAGGGTGGAGCTTACACCAGGCCTGAGTGGAGACCCCAGAATCTGGGATCTGGTGGGGTGGACTCTGACCAGGTCCATGGTCCACACTTGACCTCAAGATCCCAGTGAGAAGCACTGAGCTGGGTGAAGACAGAGTCCTGAGATACAGCCACCGACCTCCATTAATTAACATACCACCAGGCAAATGCCAAGGTCACAACTGCAAGGAGTGATGTCTGACTACATCCTCTTGTTTAAACCTCTACATCTTGGATCCATGAGCAACGTATGAGACAAGAAAAAACCAGGCACCATTAAAAGTCAGCAGGCTGAGCCGGGCCGTGTGACCTTGGAAAGTCACTTCTCCTTCCTGGTCTCAGATTCCTTACTTATGAAAGGAAAGGCTCGACAAGCTGATTTCCTCCCTCCCAGTCCAGTCTGGCTGTTCTGGGTTGGATGAGAGAAAGCTATGTAGCATGGGTCCATCCGGGAGCAAAGCCAAGGAGATAGAAAGGTCTCCATGGAGACAGAAGGAGCCAGAGGGCCCCCCCTGGTGGCACAGCAAGCTGGCCACAGCCACTACAGTGCAAGTTTATTCCCCAGCCCCAAGGTGACCCACATGACGCTGCAGATCTCTCCTGACCCGCCTGCTGCTCCCCTCAACAGTGTACTTTGTCAATCTGCCTGTTCTGCTCCCCACTCTGTCTCCGGTGAATCCTCTCACCACCCCTGCACCTCTGGCCTGTACCCCAGTTCTGTATGAATAAATAAACAAATCTTAAAAAAAAAAAAAAGAAGCCACGCAGTATACTATTGAGTGTTTTTTCCAAGGCCATACGCCTGGCCCCTTCTGGTTGGGATCCTCAAGGGTCCTGGATGAGACTAAGCTAGGAATTTCCCCGTTCAGGAGCAGTCACATTTGAGCTACAGAGTCCAAAAACGTTAATCAGTTTCTGATATAAAGTAACTCAAGGCCAGCTGGTTTTGGCCATCAGGGGATTTCCTGAGCTGCTAGAAGCCAGAGCAAAGGTGGTTTCCTCCTTCCAAGAAAGAAGATGCGAATCCAAGAAGTTTTATTTTCAACGAAGTGAAAACACTCCCTTCCCTTTCACCGCTAACTTTGTCTGCGGGCTGCAAGGTTAGCAAGGGTAGAGATTATTACTCTTGGGAGAGTGTGTAGAGGGGGTTGGGGATCAGGCAGGAGAAGCCTCTTGAGAACAGCTTCTGGTCTTCAAGGTTTTCTTGGGCAACATGAGTTGCCTCAAGTGAGCATTTTATAGACATGGGCTTACAGGCACATCCTGGCAACCCTGTGAGGTCAGGTAAGGAGTAGCATCCCACTCTACAGATAAGAAGCTGGGGCCCAGAGCAGGGGAGCACATGCCCAGGCCAGGAGAGGTGCCCGGGTTGCTGAGGGTAGCTGGCTGACCTTCACGGGGTGTCCCAAGACCAAACAATGGAGACTGAGCACAAGGCCGTGGGACTAGATAAAATGAACCGTCCAGCAGGGACAATGAGGACAACGAGGTAAGGCCAGGCCTCTGCTTGGACGTGACCCATCCAGCTGATCCTTGAACAACAAGAGTTTGATCGCACAAGTCCACCTATATGCAGATTTCCTTGTATGCCGTGACGTAAAAGCACAATGTGATAAATATGGGCCAGTGCTGTCGATGTGTTTTCTCTTCCTCAGTATTTTCTTAGGAACATTTTCTTTTCTGTAGCCTACTTTAGTGTCAGAATACAGTACACAGTACCTAGAATATACAGCCTATGTGTGACTCCACCACTTATGTCACTGGGAAGGTGTCTAGTCAACCGTCGGTAAGTTGGGAAGAGTCAAACGTAAGCACAGATTTCTGACTCCACAGGTCAGCCCCCCTGACTCCCAAGTTGTTCAAGGGTTAACTGTACATTTCATCAAAGCACAGGGTTGAGGAGAGGCATCTGGCTCAGCAAACCTTGGTTTCCCCTTATTTAAACCTCAGGCTTGGTGTGGGAATTGAAGGAGATAAAATACAGGGAGGCCCTTAACACAAGGCCTAGCACACATTAAGCACCTCAATGTCAGTGAGTAGTTCTCCATTTTTCCATTTCATGCAACCGTCCCCCAAGTGTGGTTTTTCTGAGTGTACCCCTTGAGGAAAGCTGAGGCTCTGTGAGGGGTCTCTGTCCCCATCTTCTGTGAGTTGAAAGGATTTGGTTGGGTGGTCTCTTAGTACCCGGAGGTACAGGTAGGGCAGGTAGGGCAGGTAGGACAGGGAGAGGTGCACACTTTGTGCCCCACGTAGTCCCAAGACTGCCCAGCCCAAAGCATAATGCCCCCCACCAGCAAAATGATGTGAGGCTACCTGTTTTCAGCTCTGCCCAGCCCTGGGCAGCTGTGAGGCCCAAGATAACCTCCATGACCATCAGTGCAAATCCCTGCTGGCCTGGGATGAGAGAGGAAGCCACCACCCAGCTAGCTGCCTTGATGGGAGACACTCGCTGCTTCTTCGATGCCAGGAGCCCAGCATCCACCTGCTCCTCATGGGGAAACTTCTAGCATCTCCTCCTTGAAGTCCACCCTGTCCTGCTCCTGGCTCTCCAGCTGCTCCAGGCGTCTTCCCTTGTCCCGGTTTGTCTTCCCAGGAGTCTTCAGAAATCTGGAATTGTAATAAGGGAGATACTAATTAAATCTACCATGAGATACTACATCACCCCAGTGAGAATGGCACATCTTAAAATAACTAGCAACAACAAATGCTGGAGAGGATGTGGTGAAAAAGGAACTGCTATGGGAATGCAAACTGGTCCAACCACTATGGAAAACTGTTTGGAGGTTTCTCAAACTGCTAAAAATGGAGCTTCCAGGCCCTCCCTGGTGGTGCAGCAGGTTAAAGCACTGCACTAAGAAGCTTAAGCTACTTCCTCATGTGTTCAATCCCTGCCTGCTCCGGAGGAGATCCACATGGCGTGGCAGACCTCTCCTGATCCGCCCGCTGCTCCCCTCAGCAGTGTACTTTGTCGATCTGCCTGTTCTGCTCCCCACTCTGTTCCTGGTGAATCCTCTCACCCTCCGCATCTCTGATCTGTGCCCAGTTCTGTATAAATAAATAAATCTTTATTTATGGAGCTTCCATATGACCCAGCAACCCCATTCCTAGTATCTACCCAAAAGACACAAAAACATTGATTCAAAAGGACACCTGCACCCCCATGTTTATTGCTGCTTTATTTACAATAGGAAAGACATGGAATCAATCCAAAAGCCCCAAAATAGATGACTGGATAAAAAAGATGTGTACATATCACAATGGAATATAACTCAGCAACCAAAAAAGATAAACTTGGGCCCTCCCTGGTGGCACAGTGGGTTAAAGCACAGCACAAAGAAGCTAAAGCCACTTTAGCATGAGTTTGATCCCCAGCCCCAGAGGTGACCCACATGGCATGGCAGACCTCTCCTGACCCACCCACTGCTCCTCTCAGGAATGTACTCATCAGTCGGCCTGTTCTGCTCCACACTCTGTCTCTGGCCTGTACCCCAGTTCTGTATGCATAAATAAATAAATCTTTTTAAAAAATATAAACTCATGCCTTTTGCAGCAACATGGATGAGCTGGAAGGGATCATGTTTAGTGAAATAAGCCAGAAAGAAAAAGAAAAATACCAGATGGTTCACTTATAACATAAGAGTAAGGGACTGGGGAGGAAAGAGGGGGTGGTGGGATGGGGGAGGGGAAAAGGGAGGGGGAAGCAACTGTAATAAAGAAAAAATGAAAAACAATGAACAACTATATACCAGAGACATTTTACGGGGGTGGAGTGGGGAATGGGATCAAAAATGGGGTGGGAAAGGTACACAGAAGAACTACGGTGAGGGCACACGGGTGAAATGGTGGTAGAAGCCCACAGGGATTACCACCAAGATGGAAAAAGTCACAAAATGAAGAATAATGTAAAAATAAATTAAAAAAAAGAAATCTGGATTTGAGGTCCCAGCTGCAAGTCAGCCTTGCCAAAGGGGCTTCTGGGTCACCCAGCCCTGCTTCCCCTTTTCACCTTGGCCCACAGACTACTCACCTGAACAGTAGTTTCTGGCCAGGTTCTTTTTTAATGATGTTCAGCTTATAGTAATGGCGCAGAGCACGGGACATCTTCTCATAGGTCATGTTCACCCGGTTCTAGAAGGCAAAGCAGCTCCACGTCACCCCTCCACCCCAACCCCCCCTCCTGCTCCAGCCTGGCCTTGGTTTCCACACCTGGAAGGGAGCAAGGTGGACTGGATGGTTTCTTAAACCCCTCAGCCCAGGGGTTCTGCCAGGGTTTAAAGAGCGTTCTCTTGATTTTGGAAGTAGAAAGGCAGGGCAGAGTCAGGGTGGAGAGTGTGGTAAATAATGAGATGGCTCTCACATGTTGCTTTTAAATAGCAAGTGTCACAGTGGTGACATATAAATATGTGTTCCCTAAAACCCAACCCCTGAGACAGTTTATGAGGGTGGGGGAGGATGAAGGTCTTGCCACCAGATATGGGACGTTATTTCTGTCTGGGAAGATGGGCAGTGTAGAGTTGAGACAAAGATATTGGGCTTTGGTGTCCATTTAAGTCCCAGGTCCACTGTTTGGCAGCTGTGTGACCCTGAACTAGTTTCTTTATCTCACTGAACCTGTTTCCTCAGCTACAAAAACATGGATAAAACATGTATCTCACAGGTTCGTTGAGGACTACATTAGTTAATCTGGAGAGCTCTTAGCAAGGGTTTGGCATGTAGTATGTGCTCATTAAATGCAATTGCTGGACTATAGGGGAACTGGTCCAGAAAAGCACCCCCAAACTAGCCAACAGCACTACTGAAAGGCAACCAAAATAATATAACTACAAGATCTGGGCTCTCAATCCTGCCCTGCAACCTGCTGGCTTCAAACTCTTGCACAAACTGACAGAATACTCTGCCTCAGTTTCCCCATCTGATAACACCCACCTCACGAGGCAGTTGTTAGGATAAGTGAGTGCACACAGGCAAATTCCTCAGAGCAGAGCCTGGCAACCAAACGTTCTACCACTTTAGGAAATGGGGGTACATTGCAGATGATCGTTATTGCTAATAGTTTTCATTAAAAGACTCATTTTTAGAACTGAAATAAATTACAGAAAGGACACTTACTGAATATCACCACAGTAAATCATGAGAGTGACATGAGAGTTGCATTTTTTAAATCTTAATTCTTACTAAAAAAAAAAAACACTTAATTTTTAGAATTCAGAGCCAGCCACTTAAGTCCCCTGGCAGACACCCATTCAGGTAACATCCTACCCACTACTGCTCCAAAATAAAGCAATCCTGAGGTTCTGGGGACCGCTGGTGAGGCTGAGGAGCTTCCCCCTAGTGCTGAGGCTTCCCTCAGCCCACCTGGCCTGTCTCTTTTGCAAATGTCCCCCCTGTTGGGTGAGCCTCACCTTGTGGTTTCCCCAGAGCCTGGCAAGCCCGTTTGGATCCACAACTCGGAAGATCTTGGCGTTCTTGTCTTCCCACCTGATGAAGGGCTCGTACCTGGCGTCGGAAAGCAGCTGGTACACGTAATCCCACAGCAGCCGGCAGTCTGCAATTGAGCAGAGAGGGTGTGGACGGGGCACTTTCCTGGAGCTGTGAGGACAGGAACACAGCTCCAGGGCCCTCGAGGTGGAGCCCAGAGCAGGATGGGGAAGAGGACCCTGGTACTAACTACACAGCCATTCTCTGGGGTTCCTTATTATTGCCTCATTCAATCACCCTAACGCCAGAGGATGTTACAGGTCAATCTCCCTGCCACAGGTCAATCTCCCTGCCCACCCCACCCCACCTTCTCATCCTCTAGATCAAAACGACCCTGATCCTCATCATGCATGCCTCCCCAAGGATTTGGCCTGAGCACACCTCCCTCCAGCAGGCCAGAACAACTTCCTGCTCACCTGCAATCCTGCCATCGATGGGTGTCTGTGGCATGGTGGAGAAGGAGCAAGCTCCCTCAGTCCTGCTGTCCAGCTCTGCACAGTGAGATAAGGTGAGGGATTCCTCCTTGCCCAGGGGCCACCTGGCCAGGCCGGGAGCGTCCAGGTGGTTCAAGGAGCTGGCGAGTCCCAGGTCTGGTGGCTGCTGCAGGAAGTCTCTTTGGGAGGCCGCCTGAGAAGCCCTGGTCTCCTCTGCAAGCAGATGTTGATTCTGTGGACCCAGAATCTCTGCAGCCCAGACCCCCTCAATGACATGCCTGGGACCCCGGGATGGGGTCAGGGGAACAAACTGGAAAGGAGCAGGGGTGGGGAGAGCAGAATAGGACTGACATCAGGCAGCTGCTCTAGGAGCTAATAGGGTGAGGACGCCTGTGAGACATTTTAGTGGAGGCATGTCCGGGATTCGAGAGGCACAGGTAGGTACAGGAGTCTTCAGCACTGGATGGTTAACACCCGAGACTAGATAAATCACCCAGCATCTGAGTGCAGAGAAGAGGTTCCTGAGCCCTGGGTAGCCCCCACATTTAGGAGGGAGGGGACAAAAGAAGAAACTAGGAGATGAGTGATTTGGGGCTGTTCTGGAAGCCAAAGGAAGAAGAAATTTGAGGGAGGTGAACCCAGGGCTTGCAGGCTGCAAGAGGTGATGGTGAGTAAAAGGTGATGGGGTATGGACAGCTCTATGCTGAGGCCCCGGGAGACCCTGCCTCAAAGGCGGCAGGGATGGAGAGGGCAGGAAGGCCACCTGAGAGCAGCCAGCCTACTCTCTGCAGGAGGGCAGAGTGGGGGGGGGGGCAAAGGAAAACCCAAGGCTCCCAGGAACCTCCCAGAGGGCCCAGGGTGAGGGAGATCGAGATCGGGAGCCCTGCACACCTCTGCCTCCCCCATTACTGCCTGAAGAAACCTGCAGAGAAAGTAGGTTTGGGGAAGTGGGGGAGGGTCTCTGACCCCAGCCTCCTTACCTTCTTGAGTGCAGGGGAGGCACCCAGTGGGCACCCTCTGTCTGAGGGCTCCTCCAAAAAATGGCCCACACACCAGGGCTCGCCGCTGGGTCTTGATATACTGGAGCAGCTCATATAGGACATCACCTGGGGGTGGAGGCGGAGGGTGAGCTGCTGAGGAGAGTTGGGGACGGACAAGGGACAGGAACAAAGGTCTGGTCCCTGGCAGCTGTCTCGGATGAGAACAGGTTGGGCCTGTCCTAAGCAGAGGGCCCACAGTGTGGCGGCAGGTAGGGGAGACATGGGCCATGGGAGGGAAGGGCAGGCAGCCCTCCCCCCACCCCACAAAGCCTTGCAGCCAAGCTGAGCTAGGAATCACCAGAGCGCCCTCTGTGGAGGAAGGGAAGGGGCGTCGGAAGTACCTGTGGTGAGCGAGACCCAACCCCCGCCCCCGCCCCCCCAACCACCACCAAGGCGGGATCACCTCCATCTCCCTCCCTGAGCCTCCTCCATCAAATGTTTCAGAGCAAAGCCAATGAGTTTCCCAGACCTGAACTCGGGGCGCGGAGCCGGAAGTCATCCTTGGTGAGGATGCAGAGGGCGCGGCCATTCATCTCAAATCCATGCTCCCCGGTCGGCCGCAGGGAGTACTCCTGCTCGGCCCAGCGCAGCCAGTGCATCACGTCCTCCCTGCTCCAGAGCGCGGGCTGGATGCCTGCAACGCCAGGGAGCTGCTGGAGGCCCGGTCCACCTGCCTCCCCACCCACCACACGCCCCCAAGCCGCCTATCTCTACCCTCCTACTTCAAGTCCAGGCTTGAATGTTACTGCCTCATTGAAGCCCCTCTCAACACTCCATCTGAGTAGATGCCCAACCCTACTCACCACCTCACCCTTCACGCCATCGTCTTCTGTCCTGTTCTTTCCTTCCCAGCACCTTACATCTTTGTAATTATACTTATTTTACATGGGTACATGTATATGCTCATGATTTTCCAGCCACTGGCACAACACTTGTTCAGCACCCAGAACACCCAGCACAGCAGACGATCCATAAACATGTGGTGAACGACTGCACGGGTGACCAAAAAGTCCCAGGAGGGGTGATAGTTTGTCTCCCAAGTGAGGAAACTGAGGCTCCCACAGATTGGCTAGTTCGAGGTCACTAAGGTAGGTAGCATGAAGTCCAACCAGGTTTGGAGCCAGATCTCTCTGGCAGCTGTACTTTTCCCCTCTGTTGAGCCATTTCAGAACCTGTTTTTCTCAGAGGTCTCAGCAGTGGGGGAGAAGGGAATCTCTCCTAAGCTTTCTTCATTCGTGGCAACACCTCTGGCAACACCTAGACAAGTGGCTGTTTCTTTTCTCCCCTTTCACCCCAAACTTCCTGGGCTTGTCATACTTCTATGGCGAATCATATCTCACTAGTCCGTGGTCACAGACACATTGAGATCTTCATGGGCCCTTGCCAATCTTGCCTTTATGGGCCTCAAGCTTAAGATGAGATTTTATGACTGCATCTGTATAAAGGTGAGTATATTTTTAGATTTAAAAACTTTTAGGAACCTAAAAGTTCCTTTTTCCTTCTGAGTTGAAAGGAAAGGAGAACATTTTCTTGAGTTCTTAAAAATGTGGGGTCCCATAACAATCCCACTCCTAGGCATCTACCCAAGAGACACAAAAACACTGATTCAAAAAAACACCTGCACGCCCATGTTCACTGCTGCTTTATTTACAGTTGGAAAGACATGGAATCAACCCAAATGCCCAAAAGTAGATGACTGGATTAAAAAGATGTGGTACATTGATTGGGAGCAAATTTTCTCACACAAAACGAATGATAAAGGATTGATCACAAAGATATACAAAACTGATGAAACTCAACAAAAATAAACAACCCTATCAAAAAATGGGCAGAAGAGCTAAAAAGACCCTTTTCCAAAGAGAAAAGGCAGATGACCAACAAGCATATGAAAAAATGTTCAACATCACTTGTTATAAGGGAGGTGCAAATTAAAATCACCCTGAGATACCACCTCACCCCAGTGAGAATGACACATCTTCAAACAACCAGCAACAACCAATGTTGGTGAGGATGTGGAAAAGTAACTCTCCTGCACTGCTGGTGGGAATGCAAACTAGTACAACCATTATGGAAAACTGTTTGGAGGTTCCTCAAACTGCTTAACATGGAGCTTCCATATGACCCAGCAATCCCACTCCTAGGTATCTACCTAAAAGACACAAAAACACTGATTCAAAAAGATACTGTACCATGTTTATTGCTACCTTATTTACAATGGGAAAGACATGGAAACAGCCCAAATGCCCAAAAGTAGATGACTGGTTAAAAGATGTGGTACATATATGCAATGGAATATTACTCAGCAATCAAAAAAGATAAACACATGTCTTTTGCAGCAACATGGATGGAGCTGGAGAAGATTATGCTTAGTGAAATAAGCCAGAAAGAAAAGGAAAAATACTGGATGGTTTCACTCATAGCAGGAGTATAATGGACCAGGAGAGAAAATAATAATAATAATGAACAGTTATATACCAGAGACATTTTACAGGGGTAGAATGGGGAATGGGATCAAAAATAGGGCAGGAGAGTGCACTGAGCTACAGTGATGGCACATGGGTGATCTGGTGATGGGAAACCCACGGGAATTACAACTGAGATGGAAAAAGCTACCAACGATGTAAAAACAAACTATTATGATAAAAAAGTATATATGGGGGCCCCCAGCACCATATTCACTGGAAGAATGATCTTGCCTGGTATTGTGAACTGTGTTGTGCCTCTCCCCCAAGAAATCTTCACCCCTCTCAGAACCCCAGCCACATGAAAAAGAAGGAGCAGGGATCCCTGAGTCTTTTATGGAAAAAAAAAAAACTGAGGTAAAGGAGAGAAGTAACTGGCCAGGGCCACACCTCTGTGACAAAGACTAAGCCAACCTCTGATTGCCTTGTTCTAGAACAACACAAGAGATAAAACTGGTGTTCATTTCTAAAAAATATGCATTACTCATTAGCCAGTCACTAACGAACACTGACTGGCCACACGCCAGGCTCCATGTCACTGGTGGGGACACAACACAGCACAGGCTGGCAGGGGAGGGGCCCACCAATGGCCACATAACAATAGCTGTCATCAGCCACAAAGGGGGGAAATAGGGCAGTTTGGTCCAACTGAGAAGACAAGAGAGTCCCATGTTTTATTTAGGGGACCTAAAAATGAGTAAAAAGAAATGTCAAAAATTGAGCCCAAAAGTTACTTATATAGAAAAAAAAAAGTGACAATGGTCTTTGTGGTCTACAAACCAGAAATCCATGAAATCAAGATCTGATGGTATTAAGATTGATGATATATCACTGGGAAAAAGGAAGAAGCCCAGAGGGGGGTGTTTGTACACACAAAATTAATACTTGACAGAGGTGGGGTTTTAATTCAGTGGTAAAAAATAGTTAATTTAAAATAAGGTAAGAACCCAACTGACTTGCCACCTAAAAAAAGATGTATTGACATCTTTAAACTCTCATCCCCTAACGCAAAGGAAATGAAGAAAGAGATAAACAGCTGGGACTACATCAAGTTAAAAAGCTTCTGTACAGCAATACCCTAAAAACAGTGATGGCTTAGTGATTAGGAGAAATTTTTTGTACTTCACACAAATGACAAAGGACTGATCACAAGAAATACAAAGACCTCACGCAACTCAAGAAAAACAAAGTAAATAATCCAATCAAAAAATGGACTGTAGAACTCAAAGGACACTTCTCCAAATATGAAATACAAATGACCAAAAGACATATGAAAAAATGTTCAACAACCCTCATCATCAGGGAAATGCAAATCAAAACCACAATGAGATATCACCTAACACCAGTGAGATTGGCACATATCAAAAAAACTAGCAACAACAAAAGTTGGTGAGGATGTGGAGAAAAAGAACTCTCCTGCACTGCTGGTGGGAATACAAATTAGTCCAACCACTATGGAAATCTGTGTAGAGTGACACAAGCTATGCAACATCCATCGTCTGACAGATTCCTGGTGGATTGGATAGGCTCTGAAAAATCAGACTTTCCACTGCTAACTTATGTTATGACCTCCCTTTTTTGTATAATCATAATATCAAAATATTCTGAACAACATTCAGTTTACAACTGGATTGTCTTAGCCACACAGACGGCTGCCTGGTTCAAGCAAGCTGCCCCAGGAGGAGAAATTCCTCTGTCTCCTGAGACAGAAGACAAGCCCCAGGAGAAATAAGACCCCAGGACATAAAAACTCCTGGGAAGCTTCCTTGGTTTCTTTAAATAAAAAAGCAAACCTCAGATAAGGCTCCCAGGGCATAATGGACAAATTTTAACCTTAACTACACAGGTGTTGTACAACTGTACAACTTTCTCTTAATTTACTCCTTTTTAAAACAAGCACTAACTACTCTCTGCTAGCCTTAAATTAGCCACTAGCCTTTCTTTAGGCAATCACTGATAACACTGCTAACACAATTTATTGCTACCCCAAGACCCCTAACAACCTTTTCCTAACAAGCTCACCCTTTCCCAGACCCCTCTTCCTTTGAGTAATAACTAGACAGCTGTATACATGATAACTATCACACAACGTATAATCTATTATACCATAAATTGTTAAGAGAAGAATGCTTGTTCCCCTTGTCCTTGAGAATGTTTTATGGAGATATCTCATTAACTTACCCTATACATTATTACAATTAACTACTTGCTACACAGCATAAATAAAGACCTGCTGAAGGAATGGCAGGAAGACTTGCACCCAATCCTGATTCCCGTGTCCTCCTCACGTCCGCTCCTCTCTCCCCTCCTCTCTCCCCTGTTGGAATCTCCGCTCGCGGACGCCTTCCCATCTTAGGGTCCTGCCTGTGCTGCCTCCAGACACCTCAAAAGTTGGAGCTGGTCTCCGGCAGTAGAGGTTCCTCAGACTACAAAAAAAATGGAGATGCCATTCGACCCAGCAATTCCACTCCTAGGGTTCTACCCAAAAGACACAAAAACATAATTCAAAAGGATACGTGCACCCCTATGTTTAGTGCAGCATTATTTATAATAGGTAAGACTTAGAAACAACCCAAATGCCCAAAAATAGATGTCTGGATCAAGAAGATGTGGTATATATACAAAATGGAATATTACTCAGCAATAAAAAAGATAAGCTAATGCCACTTGTGGCAACATGGATGGAGGTGGAAGGGATTATGCCCAGTGAACTGTCAGAAGGAAAAAGAATTATCAGGTAGTTTCACTTATAGGAAGAATATAGGGAAACCAAATAAGGAATCAGGGGGGAAAATAACATTAAAAAATCAATACAACAAAACTAAACAAAATAAGCAGACAGCTATAAATTCAAGACATTCTGTAGGGGACGGGGGATGGAGAAAGTACAAAACACGGGTGGGAAGAGCACATGGGACTGAGATGTTGGTGCACTGATATAAAACATATGCAAATAATTATTTTTTAAAAGGATATGGGCCTTCCCTGTTGGGGCAATGGGTAAAGACGCAGCACTGCAAGCTAGCCACAACCACTTCAGTTGCTCCCCTCAGCAGTATTCTTCATCAGTCTGCCTGTTCTCCCCACTCTGTCTCTGATGGATCCTTTCACTGCCCCGAACCTCTGGCTTGTATCCCAGTTCTGTATGGATAAATAAATCCCTTTAAAAATA